AGCTGCCCATTTTTCGATTGGGTCTTTAAATTTGGGAGGTCTGATCTTTTTAAGTTCTTTATAGATTCGAGATAATAGACCTTTGTCTGAGGAAGAGCAGGTGAAGATTTTTTCCCACATTGACCCACAACTTCTTTATCCAGTCTCCAGTTAATGGGCACTTGGGCTGTTTTCAAGTTTCATCTATTACAAACTGTGCCACTATAAACATGGGTGCACATATATCACTATGGTATGAGTCTTTTGGGAAGACATCCAGCAGGGGAATAGCGGGGTCAAATGGGACCTCTAATCCTAGTTCTTTGAGGTGTCTCCACACTGATTTCCACAGTGGTTGCACCAGTCTGCACTCCCACCAACAATAGAGAAGGGTTCCTTTCTCCCCACACACCCACCAGCATTTGTTGTTGTTTGATTTCTTGATAGCAGCCATTCTTTCTGGGGTGAGGTGGAATCCCAGTGTTGTTGTCATCTGCATCTCTCGAATGACAAGTGATGTTGAACATTTTTTCATATGTTTATTTTTTTGCTTTTACTTCTTTGAGAAATGTCTATTTCAGATGCCCATTTTTGAATTGGGTCTTCAAATTTGGGGGGTCTTATTTTTTTTAAGTTCTTTATATATTCTAGATAGTACTCCTCTGTCTGAGGAACAGCTGGTAAAATTTTTTTCCCACATTGTAGGCTGTCTCTTAGCTCTGTTGGTGGTTTCTCTTGCATTGCAGAAGCTTTTTTTTTTTTTTTTGGTACCAGGGATAGAACTCAGGACCTTGAGCTTTCGAGGCAGGCCGCAAAACCACTGAGCTAAATCCCTGGCCCACAGGAGCTTCTTAATAAGATAAGATCCCAGTTGTTGACTCTTTGTGCCAGTTCCTGTGCTACTGAGGATTTGTTCATAAAGTCTTTTCCTATGCCAATGTCAAGACTTCTACCTAACCTCTCTTCCAGCAAGTTTAGTGTTTCTGTTTTAATATTTAGATCTTTGATCCACTTTGATTTTAGTTTAGTGCATGGTGAAAGATATGGGTCTAGTTTTAATCTTTGGCAGGTTGAAATCCGGTTTTTCCAACACCATTTATTGAAGAGGCTATCTTTCCTCCTCCTTTGTCAAAGATGAGGTGGCTGAGTGTGTCTGGAGTTGTTTCTGCATCTTCTAATCTATGCCACGGGTCTGTTTCTTTACCAGTACCATGTTGTTTTTATCACAGTGGCTTTGTAGTATAGTTTCATGTTGGGGATTGAGAAAGCCCCTGTCATAAAAACCTAGTAATTCTGTGAGTATTTTACTAGCTTTGCAAAACATATGTATAATAATCACCAAAATAGCAGGAAGGGAATAGAGCAATATATGAGTGAAGTTTCTATCTTACTGGAAGTTTAATATAAATCTGAAGTCGATTCTGATAGACTAATATGTATACTGTATGCCTTAGAGTAATGATGGCAAACCTTTTAGAGCTTTCAATGATAACAAACAGCCTGCTGCAGCATGCATGCCATAGGTTTGCCATCACTGCCTTAAAGTAATCTACAAAGAAAGTACCTCAAAAATAGTTCAAAAATCATGAAAGAAATAAAATTACTATACCAGAAAGAGGTCATATGATACAAATGAAGGAAGTAAAACAGGCACAGAAAAGCAAAAAAAGATTAAGACAGAGGACAGTACAAAGTAACAGACATAAATCCAACCATATCAGTAACACATGGATGAGTTAAATGAGTCAGTGGAAGGGCAGAGATAGGACTGGACAGAAAGACAAGCTCCAACTACAGATAGTCCCTCACTTATGTGTTTCACCTTACAATTCCTTGACTTTACAATGTTGTGAGTGACCCTCAGTCAGTAGAAGCTGTATTTGGAGGTCTGAATTCCACTCTTCTGTGAGCCACTGCAGTAAGCAATGACACTCAGAGTGCTGGGTGGTGGCAGCAGCTGTGTGGCTCTGTCAGCACAGGCTGAATAATGGGTGCTGTGCACTGGTGTTGCTAAGCTACAGCTACGATGTTAGGAAGCTTAGGTATATTAAAAGCATTTCTGAATTATGGTATCTTCAGCTTATGATAGGAGTCTACAGTGTCTGTGAAAGACACACTGTGTCTGGGGTGCTCACAATATTATTATAACATTTGATAAAAATCATCAAACAAAACATGTTACCAGAGGTAAAAAGATGCCTTATAACAATTAAAACATCCATCCATCAGCAAAAGCTAGCAACTGTAAACATGTATGTACCTAAAAACAGAACCCTGAAATACCTGAAGGAAAAAATCAGAACTGAAGAAGACAATAGCAACAGATGAGACTTTAATATCCCACTTTTGGTAGTAGATAGAACTGGCAGATGAACATGGAAACAGGGAACTTGAACACTACTATAAATCTAAGAGACATCAACAGAACACTCTACCCTACGAGAGCACACATTCTTCTCAAACAGTAGTATTTAGAGGAAAATATATATTTCTATTAAATGCCCTTATATAATTTCCTAATTAAATGCTTGCTTCAGCAGTATATATAATTTCCTAATTAAAAATCTCAAATCAACCTAACCTTTCACCTCAATAGAGATCTTTTCTTAAGAGCAAACTTAACGAAAAGCAAACTTAACCAAAGCAAGAGAAGAAAAGAAAAATTAGGAAAGAAATGAAACAGGAAATAGAAAAACACTAGAGAAAATAAATGAAACCAAAATTTGGTAATTTGAAATAATCAACAATATTGAGAAAGTCTTAGCTGAACTCATCAAAGAAACATTCCAATTACTGAAATCAGAAATGAATAAGAAAACATTACTGTAGAATAAAAACTGTAGGAAAATGGTATGAATAACTGTATCACAGGAAATCAGGTAATTCGGCTGAAATGACAAATTTCTTTAAAGACACAAACTACCTCAATGGACAAAAATTGGGGATACACCTATAACAAGAAAGACACTGAATTGGTAATTTTAAAATTCCCTCATAGGCCAGGCATGGCTGAAGCAGGAGGACTGCCATGAGTTCAAGGCCAGCCTGGGCTACATAGTGAGTTCAAGGCCAGTCTGAACTACATAGCGAGACCCTGTCTCAAAAGACAAAAACAAAACTAAAAAACCTTCCCACCATCTCATGTGCAGATGGCTTCATCTGTGAAGTCTTATCAAACACCAAAAAATTTAGTACTAATATTTCACAAACTCTTTCAAAAACACAAGAGGAAGGAATATGTCCCAACTTATTCGGAAACCAATTATTGCTCTGATACCAAAACCAAATTAACACATTACAAGAAAATTACACATTCTTACAAAAATAAATATGAAAACCCTAAAAAAATATAGCAAACTAAATGTAGCTATATAGGAAAAAAAAGGATTCTATACCATCACCAATTGTGATTTGTTTACGGAATGCAGGGTGGGGAGTTTAATACATAAAAATCAACCCATGTAATATGCTATAGTAATAGAAAAAAGGACAAGAACATTGTCACCTTAACAGCCACAGAATTATCATTTCACAAATTACAATACCATTTCATGATAATAACTCAAAAAGCAGGAATACAAGGAAATTCTATAATTTGATAAAGAACATTAGTGAAAAAACCACAGCTAACACCATATATTATCAAACAAGTCTGATATATTCATAGAAAACATAAAGCAAGACATACTATTTAAAACACGATGAAGAGGCTGGGGACTTAGCTCAGTGGTTCCAGTGCCTGCCTTGAGAGGGCAAGGTCCTAAGTTCGATCCCCAGTACCAAAAAAAAAAAAAAATGATGAAGATATAATATCCCCTCCCTCTGTCTCTTCACTAAACTGGGAACTTAACACCAGACTTAAAAGACTGACAGACAGGGATGCTCTCACTCTTGCAACTTCTGTTCAACATCGTGCTGAAGTTCTGAGCAGGGTAGAGGCAAGGGAAAAAAGTGAAAGACACGCAGATTGGACAGGAAGAAATAAAACTATCTTTATTTGAAGGTGATATAATTTTGCATACAGAAAATCCTAAAGCATTACATCAAATTTGTGCTTGCAAGAACACTATTAATAAAATAAACTAGGACCACAATTCCTAGAGTGGGATAAAATATTTACAAGTGATATATTTGATAAGGATTCAGCCTAGAACTCTTACAATGCAAAAATAAAAAGATGAACCAATTAAGAATGGGCAAGGGATTTAAACAGACATTTCTGCAAAGATTATATACCAATGGTCAATAGCACATGAAAAGATGCACAAAATCATTAGCCAGTAGGAAAATGCAAATCAAAACCATGAGATGCCACTTTATATCACTAGCATAACTATAATAAAAAAGATGGACAGTAATAAGTAGTGAGGATGTGGTGAATTTGCAAACCTCATACACTGCCAGGGGAAAATAAAATGATTTAGCTACTTCAGGGAAAAAATTATGGCATTCCTTAAATAGTTCAGCCAAGAGTTACTAAATTACCCAGCAAATGTACAGCTAGTATACATACCCATGAAGACTGAAAGCAAGTCTCCATTAAGCCTCATACACTCATGTTCACAGCAGCATAATCCATACTGCCAAAACAGTGGAACCCAAATACCCACTATGAACAGAAACACGAAATGTGATACAATCCATCCAACAGATACTACACACATATAAAAAGGAATGGTATGGATGCAAGTTACAAAATGGATGAATCCTGAAAACATGGTAGTGAAAAGCCGGTTGCAAAGAGCACATATTATCCAACAGGCAAATCTAGACACACAACTAGGCTAAGCTGCTGCCCGAAACTGAGAGGTCAGCAGGGCAAAGTAGAGTGACTGCTACTGGATACAGCATTTTTTAGTGAGGGCTGATAGAAAAAGTTAAAAGTAGATTGTGGTGATTTTTGTACAACTCTTATGAATATATACTAAATGTCACCGAATTGTTAAATGACTGGAATATATGGTTTGTGAATTATATCTCTATAAAGCCGTGTAAAAAAGGACAAGGGAGCCTGCTCTGTACATCAAAATGAGCAACTTTAATGAACATGCAATTGAAAACTGGTAAAAGTCAAGAATTAAGCTTGTGTCCTGTCTTCCCAGCACTGAGGATTTCCAGAAATCTTTATATCTTATTGGATAAAGTATCTGTAAGCTAGGTAAGTATATCTTCTTAGTTTTAAGATGTAATCTAAAGGAAAGAAAAATCATATGTGTAAGATATCTTAAAACATTTCAATATAAAATGACTAATGTGATATAATAATTATTATGAAAAGCAAAAACAAGTTACTCTACTGGTTCTATAGGTTACGGGACAAGATAATACTGCACCATATTTAATAATTTTGTAAAAGCAGGAAAAACTGGAAAGCAGTATTTTTTTCCCATATCCCCAAGGATAAAAGCATTCCAGCGTGTAAAACACTGAGGCAGAGTGTTGTCCCCTGCAGCTTCAAGGGAGAAACAGACCAGTCAGCAACGGTGTAAGCAAGGCTCCCCATGTACTCCGTGTACTCTCCATAGTGCAAGGCACAGAGAACATGAATCTTTTATTTTAATGCAGCAAAGGACAAGCTGGAGAAGACAACCCTGCTTAACTCACCTGCAAGGCCTGGATCCCAGCCGCCCCTGATTAGGGCTTCCCTCTCTTGCTCCAGCTGAAAGTTCAGAGCTGGTCTCTCAACAGATGCTGCTGCTTGAAGAGAAGAAAATGAAACCCGATGATCAACAAAGTCACAGGGTCAACTTCATCCTGAGACTGCAGGGACCAGCAGGGGCGGCAGGGACGGTAGGTAATTCCTGGATGGGCTGTGCAGAAGGTTCCCTACAGTCTCAGGAAGGGATGCTGGGAATAAGCCTCAAAGGGTGCTCCCTAGGAACCTGAAACATGTCGGGAGGCAGATTCCTCCTTACCTGGAAACAAGTCTTCTTACTTTGTTAGAGAATGTTAAACTCCCATTGTGGGAAACAGATTCATGGTTCCTAAGAGCAACTCTCAAAGGAGACAGAGGGACTGGCTTTCTCAAGACAATGTGGAAATTCAATACCAGGGTAAGGGTACCACGATATATCTCAAGCCCTGCTGGACCCAGAGAATCACTTCTAAGGCAAGTAGGGAAGGAAGGTAACTTTTATGATTAAAAAAAAGAAGGAACACACTTTGGAAGTCAACAGACCCCAGAGCTTTCCATACCTGCCAACCTCTGACACTGCCATTTGAGGTCATCTGGTAAACAAAGGAGTCCTTCCATCTCTGAGGGCCCAGGCAGAGATGGGTAGCAGAGAGGCCTTACCCAGGGAAGCCATGGCCCTGCAGTTCTCCATCATCACTTCCGTGTACAAGGCCTTCCTGGTGGACTTCAAGCTGGCCCATTCCTTCTAGGTGACTTGCACTGCCATGTCCTCAAAAGTCTCTGAGTCCTGAAACAATAACTTCTACACTCTCAAACTTCAAGGTATGATGATGGTCAAAACCATCACTGAGAGGCCAGGGAAGGACTCTTACAATAACACCAGTTTTGTGTGAAATGTGGAAGGTGTGGCAGAAAAGGATGCAGAATGTGAGGCAGCAAGCCGGAGCTCAGCACACTTTCCCAGTGAGAACCAAGTATATCTCCACACAGAGAGCTGAACCTGCTATGTGGCAGCTGGGCTTGGATCTGCACATGAAGGTAATTATGTGGAAGGAAACGGCCAGCACCTTAGTCCCAAGCCTCGTCCACTCTATATATTCCAGTAGTCATCTGGGTGACTCATACTCCTGCCATTTACCAGCGCTGCATTCATGCCAGTCCTTCATTCTTGCTGGCTTGCCCTATGCAGGCACCCAGATCTCTGATCGGCCAATGACGTCCTACCTTGCCCCACCTGCATGCAGAGGAGGAAGAGGCAAAGGGTGTTAGAAAATACTGCTTACTCCGGAAAGGTCCCTAGGCCAGCTTGGTGCAAGAGGCTGGCAATGGGCCTAACAAGGCAGCTATTAAGTTTCAACCCCTGAAGCAGGAGCTCAGCAGTGTATTTCAGAACCATCTCTCTACAGGAAATGGTCTTCGTGTAGAGATGGGAACCTATAAGCCAGTGCCAAAGACAGACTTGCCAGCGGTCTTTCTGAGACATTAAAATTACCTTGGAGAAAAGCCCTCTGTATTAATTACACTGCAAAATTATTTTACTGCCCCACCAGCAGTGAGTGCCATAGGATCCTAGTTCAAAGACAGACAATGAGACCAATGACTTGAATAGGGAGTTTAAAAACAGACACACAGTAGATATAGAGACAGATACACAGTCCCCAAGTTTATGACAAAGTAACAGTGCAATTCAATGGGTAAAAGATAGACTTTTCAATAAATTCTCCTGTATAAAGTGGATTAAATGTGGAGGAGAAAAAAAGAACTCTGACCCATAAGCTCATACAATTAATTTGAGAAGAATCACAGCATAAGTAGAAAGCTAAATTATAAACGCTCTGTGAAAAAAAATAGAAATACATCTTTATGACCTTTGAGTAAAAAAAGATTTCTTATACAAAACAAACTGATATTCTGGGCTTCATTAAAAATAAGAAAATCGGGCCGGGGATTTAGCTCAGTGGTTTCACCGCCTGCTGTGAAGTGCAAGGACCCAAGTTCAATCCCTGGTACCAAAAATAAATAAATAAATAAATAAATAATAAAAATAAAATCAAGAACAGTATCATGGTACGCACCCATAAGCCCAACTCTGGGAGGATCTCCAAATTCAAGCCCAGTGTAGGCAAGTTAGAAAGACCCAGTCTCAAAAAACAAAAAAGGGGAGCCAGGGTTTAGCTCAGTGGCAGCATGCCTGCCTTACAAGCGCAAGGTCATGAGTTCGATCCCCGGTCCAAAAGAAAAAGGGCTGTAGCTCATTCCCCAGTACCTAAAAAATAAAAAGAAAGAAAGAAGAAAATCTGTTTATCAAAGGACACATTGAGAGAATAAAAAAGCAAGCCACAGACCGGGAGAAGATAGTTCATAAGATATTTATCTGGCAAAAGATTTATATCCTTAACAAATACAAAATTACTGTAACTTGGGGAAAAAAGAGGTACATAATGTAACAAAAAATAGGAAAAATATCTGAATAGGGACTTCACATGAGAGAATATTCATGTAGGCAATAGCCCTATAAAATGTTGCTGACTGAGCATTACTGCTTATTGGAGAAGAAATTTTAAAAACCTCAATGAGATACTATGAACAAATGACACAAGAATTAGTAAACATGTGAAGCAATGGTATGCTGTTGGTAAAAATATAAACTAGAACAACTATTTTGGAAAATTTGGGGGCAGTATCTACTAAAACTAACTAAAGGTATAACCTGCACTCTAGCGATTTCACTCCTAGAGATAAAACCAAAAGAATGAGTGCTTGTGTCCACAAAATGTCCAATGTATTCTTATTTTGCAGGAGTGAAAAACTAGAAACAACAAAAGCCCATCTATAGTAGAATGAAGAGATAAAATGTGGTATAATCAGATAGTGGAAAGCTAGTTAGCGATAAAAAAGAATAAATACTGGTGTATGCAACACCATGGGTGCCAAGTTCACAGACATAATGTTACATGAAAAAGGCAGATCCAAGAGTACATACTGAAGGATTCCATTTATACAAGGCTCCAGAATAAACAAAATCTATACTGATAGAGATCAGAATAGTGGTTAACTTTGGGACAGGGGGATGCTTAGGAGAGGACATAAAAGAAGGCTTCTTGGGATGCTAATAATGTTTTAGATCTTGACATGGGTGATGGTAATATAGGTGTGTACATTTCTAAAAGTGAGCTATACATTTAAGACTTGTGTTGTAAATAAGTTAGTTCTCAGGAAGAAATTTCCATATAAAATGTTTTGCATATCTATTAACACATGCACAAAGTGCATAAACAAAGATATTTATGAATGCACATAAACAAGCATGTATATACACATATATGTCCAAAGGAAAGCCAGCCCACCTGGGATCTGGATGTTAAGGGCACAGCTGTCATCATGTGACCTCTTTTATTCCTTGGGGAAAGGCAAAAGTCTCAGGAGCTGAAGGTAAAGAGAAAAACATTAGTGACAGTAACTTTACTGACCATAACTCCTAAATACCTCTGAGCTATCCTGTCTTGAAGGCTATGTGAAGTATTGTTTTTTTCATCAGTTATTGCTTGTTATGAGCAGCAATTCTAGACTCAAGAGAAGTGAGATGGCAGGCACATAGGGGAATGCAGAAGGGAAGCAGGGATCATTCAAGGAATTAGTAATGAGAAGGTAGACTGACAAAACTATAACATCAATAGTCCAGAGAAGACATCATAAGAAAGACAGAAGAGGAAATCACGGAAGACAGTGCACAGAATGTTAGGGGCTGAAAAGCAAGCTGAAATTCCAGTAGTTAAAGATTCCACACAGTACAGATAGGAAAGAGGTGTGTACAAGAAATCCATCAAACACGGAAGACCTCAGCATCTGTTTTTCCTCCTGTGCTAGTTTAATATTAGGACAGGATATTTCTGTTACTTTACTGATAGAAGTCAAACAGAATTTGAAAATAGTTTATTAGGAATACTTTGATGTCATCATAATGCCATTTTCCCCTAAATACAAAGGCTGATTATAAGACATTTATTCAGTTTTACAACAGGGTTGGGGATTGGATGAAAGGGAAAACACTATCATATTAAAGGAATCCATCAACTTCATGAGATGTCCCAAATACTTCCAAGTTCCAAATAATACAGTGCAGGGAGCTATGCAGCTTCATTTCTAAACCAGCTGTACTTCCCACTGTTAGTAAATTGATTGATTCTTCATTAGGAAGTAAGCCTGCTGCCATTACAAAGAATGAATCAGCAAGATTTATGCCTTAATGACAACACCTGAAATGCCAACAGCTGCCATCAGGTAAATTGGATATTTCACAATCATATAAAAGTAGTTCTACTCAGAGACCTTAAAAACAACTTCCATTTTAACCCATATATGTGCAGCTTGCTGTAAGACTCAGGGTACTATAAGAGCATTAGACAACAGACTTCAGTCAGTGCACTGTTCTCCCCACAATGGCCCTTGCTAGTGATTCAAGAAAATCATTCAGTAAAATAAGGCAAGCTAAAGCTAGGACAGGGCTGACAGCATTAAGGTAGAAATCGTGCCTTGGAAGCTAAAGGGAGTCCAGTAAAGAGAAATATACTCAGAAGGAAAAACAGAAGGACTTTCAAAGAAAATACAATATAAATCTACACAAATATTGCTGCTAAACCCTTGCACGAAAACAGCAGCAGAAACTACCCACAAAACACTCCCTCCTCCTATTTTTCTATGGGGAAAACTGTATAGAAGCTGATACATAAATAAAAGCCAAAATGGGGAGCAAATCGCAATCCAACACCCTTCAGCACTAGCAGCGACCACATGTTTATAAACCAACTGATTACAAACTTCGACGATCTTGTGACAAGGGAGTGACGTCAGTGAATTTAAGGAGAAGGGCCTGATGGAAGATGAGAGGTGAGCTGGGTCAAGAAATCCTCTCACGTCTCGAACAACACACACCGAAAACTACGTTAAAGACTTCGAGTACACACACACACACACACACACACACACACACACAGAGCTTGATTGGCATGACTCACCAGAAAGCTTTAGACTCAATATTCATGAGATGCAGAGGGGAGGTACAAATAATCAAGATGTGTTATAAACACGTGCCAACTCCCTATGACAAATGTGTTCATTACGTACTGTAAACGCGGACTAATCAAAATTTTAAAATTCTTATGAGCCAATCCGGATGGCAGGGTTCACTACTATTCGCCCATATTTGAACAACTAAGCGGGGGCCATCCTGGAAGGAAGCACACACGCGTTTCAACGCTCCAGACATCTGAGCCGGTCTCTGTTCCACCTAGGATCTCCGTAATGCCGGGTGGGCAGAGTTACCGCAGCCCAACCTCCTGGGCCTCTCAGGGGACAGAGCAGCCGAGCGGACCAGAGGTGCAAATGACCATGGGCCCCGACGGGAAGGCTTTCTGAGGATGTTGATGCCAACCAACCCTCGGTGAACCTGCATCCCAGGCATCGCCCTTTTTGACCCTACCCAGCCGAGCCCGATGTAGCTATGAACCACCCTCCCTCCAGGCCCTCTCCGGGCCTCAGGCCTGCTCACTGGAGCTCCGGGCAGCCTCTAGAACTTTCAGCAAAAAAACGGTCGAGACACCGAGCAACGGTCCTCAAAAACGAAGCCCTCCGGAATTAAAATAAAATGGCTGTCCGGGAAGTATGTCATCACGCTACCCAGCTATGCCATACCCTTCTTAGCATTCCCTCTAGGAATCTTGGAGGACCCTGTCCTCTTGGTTGTTCCAATGAGACCAGCCGGGAAGAGAGAAGACTGGTGAGAGGCTACCGGTGAAAGGAGGCGGGAGCAAAGACGAGCTGTTTGTTCCATTTGATAGTGGATGAGAGGCGGGGCCTGAGGGGACCAATCAGCACCTAGGCTCATTCTCCCTTTGGTGGCTCAGCCTATTTTTAGCCTAAACAGGCAGAGACCCCGCTTGCCTGTTCTTGCACGTGGCTGTGTGTCCCTGCCTTGGCGTGGTGGCCCACACCTGTTATCCTAGCTCTAGGAGGCTGAGACAGGAGCAACCCCAATTCGGGCCCAACCTGGGCAAATAGCGATTTAACAAGACCCTGTCTCAAAATTTTAGGAAGCGGGGAGCGGGCTGGGGATGTAGCTACACACACAAGCGTAGATGAGGAATCCAACACCTAGCACATCTGAGCAGCGCTGACTTTATTAGGAAGGGGCTCATGTTTCCCAGGATGATTTTGAGGGCTGGCTCGCTCAGGAAAGAGGAGCCTGGGAAAGGCTTGCTGGGTGAAGGGAAGTGAGGGTCTCTCTTGGAGATCTTCCCGTATACCCAGAAGACCCTTGGTGTCCAAAGGCGCTGACTCTGCCCTGCAGGGGGACCGAGGACGAGGGAAGAAGGGACCCACGCACATGCTTCCTACTACCTAACTCAGAACGTTCTTCCCACACCAGGCCACACTCGTCTTACTCCTGCGGCTGCCGTGACGTCCCACAAGGCCCAAGGCCCACACTCATCCTCATGTGCTCCTCCCCAGACACCCAGCACCCTGCCATGATGCCCCGTCCACAGGGCACCCACTGGTCAGCCACACCCCACCAAGGCCAGAATTTCCCCAGCACCCTTGGGCCCTGTGCCACCCCAGCCATTCCACCCGTGGTAATTTTATCTCCAGTCCTAGGTGGTTGGATCCTAGGGTAACTTTACTGATCACCCCCAAAATCTTTGAATACGAGAGAGCAAGTATTAAGGTGTCACTCCCTGCTTACCACAAAATACGGGGTTGGGTAGGTATTCTGAGGCCAAATCAAAAGAATCTATGCCACAGTGGGTAGTATAATATCCATTGTAGAACAGTGGTTTCGTTTTAGCAAAGCGTTACTGTTCCTAATGTTAAATTGATGCAATTTGAGTATAACTGAATTTGAAGTTTCCACTGTAATTCTGTAATAACTTATAAATATGGAATTTATTATTGTCAGACCCTCACCCAAGCAGAAGAGAAAAACTTTCCAGGAAACACAGTTACACATCCTTCAAGGTGCAAAGGATAACCGGAAGCCAAGGGCTGGCTTTGAGATAAGAAGCCTGTCCCATGCAGCAACACCTTCGGGTCCAGATGCCCCTGGAGACCACCGGACGTCCTCTGCCCCAGAACAAAAGGCTTCCTCCACCCCGGGACAAAATGTCCCTCTCCTCCTGGCACCACCCCTCCCCTTCCCAAACTCCCCTGTAAAGTCTCCCCTCACCCAAGCCCCCAGGGTCAACAGCTCTGTCGCCCTTGACTAGCCTGCACCCAGGCTGGAAATAAAACCTCGTTTGTTGCTTCATTTTTGCCTGCTCTGGTGCACTTGGTCATGCCTCGGTTTACCCTAATAATTATCAAGCTGTAAAGATACACACATTTAAGTACATTTTTTTACACATTTAACAAATTCTCACACATCTACTTGCTTTAAATATAACTCAAACGAGCACGTGTTAAAGAAGTTAGAGCCCACCTGTTTTGCACAACCGTGTAACTGCACCCACCATCTCCTGGTTATAGATGAGACAAACCCTGTGGGATAAACTCTGACCCAAAAACTCCCACCTTGCTGTTGACCAACTTTACCTTGACATGTAAATGCCCCCCGTAATTCTCCTACCTCCCAGGAGTTAGCTTCACACTGAGCTACATCCTCAGCCTTCTTTATTTTTAATTTTGAGACAGGTGCTTGCTAAGTCGCTAAGTTGCCTGGGCTTGCCTCACATTTGTGATCCTCCTGCCTCTGGGTTTGCAGGCAGCCCCCGTCATGAATGACTCCCCTTTAAACAATTGTGTGCAAGTGCTGCCCAATAAAACCAGTACAATGCTGCCATCTGGTGGGCGATCTTTTCCTTCCTCGATCCGCCTTGAAATCCTCAAACTCACCATTGTGTTCAGTATAGATCTTCTTGCCTCTTTGCGGCCTTTCTTTAACGCTGGCTACGTCATTACTCGTGACACTGCATCATCATGCCCAGTATGCATTCTGGCCTCCAGTGACTTTGTCAAAATTTCTTACAATGACTAAAAATACAAGTCTTACCCACAATACACAGAAAAATATGAACAGCAAGCTTGTTCTTAATTGTGTTAAATTTACCACATGGACTGTTACCACATAATCAGTGAACAGCATCGTTCACAACACTGACTTCTCTTGAATGACTGTAATCACCGCAGCCCTAGAATGTGCCACCTTCCAATGTTGCTCAACCTACCCTTTCATATGTGGCCAACAGCAGAGAGGAAAGTTAGTGGGCTTATAGGCAGAGTGGGAAGAGCAGTTCAGAATTCAGATCCATCCCCTGTAGAGCAGAGCTCAAGGCTGCCCCAGGATGCCCTGGCACCAATGCATCAGTCAGAGGTAGGAGATGGCATCCTTCAGAAAAGCTGTTGAGGCCCTTAGAGGTGATATGGTGTGTCTATCTCAGAGGACTCCCTGCCAGGTTGTGCAGAGACCATGAGGGGGTATCCTGGATGCCAACAGAGAGGAGTGTGGAGGAGAAAACTTCTACCACCACCATTATCCTTGGATGGTGTAGACCACAGGCAGCATTGCAGGAGGAACATGAATTGGCAAGAGCTGATACGGACGCAAGCATTGGCCAGGAACCCCTAGGATCCCAGACTCCTGAATTCACCCTGTGCCTAACATGAGTGAGGGTTGGCCAGAGTCATGATGGCACCTTTCTGGTGGTTCATTCCATGACAGCTACCACCGTGGAACTGAGGTGTAGCCGCAGGTTCCTGGGAAGACCCTATAGGTGCATTTTGGAGCTCCTTGGGATTCCTGGTCAACCCCACATGCTGGGTAAGAGGTCATAACATGCCCTGTTGGGAGAAGATGTGGACCAGGGCCCACATGGGTTACAGTCTATCCTTGGAGCTCCCGATTTAACAACACTGCTGGGCCCAGCCACTCCCAGGCAACTATTGGCAGCTTTGAAACAGAGGAGAGGAAGGAAGCCCCTTAAGGGACATGCCCTAGGACTGGACAGTTTTCAACAGGGTGTGATGGTGGGATGGGCATGTGTGGTATGGAAATTTAAGGCATGGTCGGAGAGTTACACTTGATCACAATGGCCAGAAGGTGGCCACAGCACTGAGCTCCCAGCACTGAGCTCCCAGGCCAAGTCTTGTGCTCTCTTCCCTGCCCTGTGCCCCAGCAGGGGGCGCCCTGCACTACACGGTGCTGCCATGGTTGGGGGAGAGCAGGTGGAGGAAGTCCCTTGGCTTCCTAGGCTGATGTGAAGCTGGCTGTCACCTGGGTCACAGCCACAGGGACCTGCACAAAAAGTGATCCCTGCAGCAGGTGGGGGAGGTGAGTCTGTCCTGCTGCTGAACATGTGTCTGCCTAGTGCTAGGCCAACCTGGAGCCTCTGTCTGTGTGCACTGACCTGGGGAAGGGAGTTTGGGCTCTGGCTGGTGCCCAGGCACTGCAGCAGGTCCAGCAGAGAGCTGTAAGGCAAATACCTGTGCGCACTCTCCTGCCCTGCCCTGGCAGTGCAGCCTTGCTCTTGGCTTTGCTGCCTGAGGTTGTGGAGCCAGCCCCTTGGCAACCTGGCCACTGCAGAACCAGAAGCTCAGCCCGCAAGCACTGGGATAGAGCCAGGGCCTTGGGACTCTGGCAGCACTGGGTTTCCCACGCCAGGCTTGGTCCTGGGTTCTGTGTCTAAGGCCTGAACTCCCTTGTGTCTCCATGTGCCAGTGGGAAATGTCTCTCCCACACTGCAATGCTTACCGCTGGAGGAGGGGTGAGAAGCCAACTCTGCTTTCCATCTTCTCTTCTAGTTCCTATTCCTAACTCCAGGGGATCTGGTCTCTCTCGGCTGCCTTAGGTCTTATGAGGGAAACTTGCTCCACAAATGCACTACTCAGGTTGGGGTCCAGAAGGCACCGGTCAGGAAAGGCAGGGCACCCTCGGCACAGCCCAGGCTCAGTGCCGAGTCCCCTGCATCCCCCACCCCCAAGCTATGGCAGAGCAGGCACCTGGCCTGTGACCTGCAAGTCAGCTGGAGGCCTGAGCCCGAGTCAGGAGCAAGGCTGTGACTGGGATGGACCCCACACACATCCAGGAACTCCGCAGGGCAGGGGCTGCAGGATTCAGCCAGAGGGAGGGGAGCAGCGTGGACCCAGGGCGGGAGCCCAGTGCCCACCTGCGTGCCACCCTGTGTCTCAGGGCCCCACGTGGGCACTGCTGGAGAGACCTGGCAGCCGCCTCAAGGCAGGAAGATGAGACCCCCGGCCTGGGAACCGCCCTGGGTCCCCCTTTCTGCACCAGACACTGCCACGCTCTCGCCCCTTTCCTGCAGGGCCCAGGGAGAAAAGCGAGCAGCAAAGCTGTCAACTTCCATGGCTGGAATCCAGGCACCTGGGAGAAGAAGGTGCTGTCTCCCTGAGGAGCGAGGCCTCTGAGGGAGCAGGGAGGCGCCAAGGTCCAAGCTGCGGTGAGCTCAGCTGAGAGCCCAGAGCCACGGGGCATGGGCCCTAAGACAGGAGAGGGACGGTGGGGACCTGCAGCCTGACCCCCCCATCTGGGCACAGCTGCAGGCTCAAGTCAGGGTGCAGCTGTCTGAGTCTACGTAGAGAAGATCCCACGGGAACAGAGAGGAAACCCATGGCTGCGCCCAGCCCTGGGGGACAGGGACAGAGCTCCCCATGGCCACATCAGCAGCGTCTACCCTGTGCTCAGCCACACAGCAGCACGTCAGGCCTGTTGTGACGTCGACACGCACACACAGGCTGTGCAGACACACCGCAGACACACACACATGCACTCACACACGTACACATAAGCACTCACACACACACAGGCACACATCCGCCAAAGCTGGTGACAAGCCTGCCGGTCACTCTTACCTGGCTTTCCTCGGCCCACCCATGTCCAACACCTGCACCAGGCCCTCTGGGTGCCAGATTTTGCTGGACAGCTCAGGCTGTATCATCTGCCCCCTGGCCTGTGAGCAGGACACGACGTCCCTTCTGGGCAACATTTGAGGAGCTCTAAGGAGAACCTGTCTTCCCTGGCCCCCACCTTCTGAGCCGGAGCTTCCCCCCCAGAACCAGGGAGCTCCGGGCCCTTCCTGAGGGAGGGGAGCCTGGGTCCTCAGGACAGAACCGAGGCCGCAGAGATGACTTGGCCAAATCTGGGGACAGGGAATCAGGACATGCTCTGGGGACACTGGCTAAAGATGAGAGGGGACAGATATGACACTGCTCAATCCTCTGTTTACCAGGCATCCATTCTTAAATGAGTGTAGAGAATTAGATTTTTAAAAAGAAGGAAAACGGGCTGGGGATTTAGCTCAGTTGTACCGGTGCTTACCTGGCAAGTGCAAGGTCTAGAGTTTGATATCCAGTGCTGGGAAAGAAAGAGAGGGGGGGAGAGAGAGAAAGGGAGAGAGAGAGAGAGAGAGGGAGGGAGGGAGAAGGGGAGAGAGAGAGGGAGAGAGAGAGGGAGAGAGAGAGAGAGAGACAGAGAGAGGGAGAGAGGGAGGGAGAGGGAAAAGGGGAGAGAGAGAGGGAGGGAGAGGGAGAGAGAGAGGGAGAAGGGGAGAGAGAGGG